TATCATCCCACTCTGTATACAGTCGAACCTCCATTAAGTGGCCACCTATTAAGCGGCCATCCTCCATTAAGCGGCCAGTAATCAATGCCCCGAAATAATTGTAGTAAAGAACGGGAAATTAAACCTCGATTGAGCGGCCACTTCTATTATACAGTTCAACCATCAAGCGGCCATCCTCCATTAAGCGGCCACTAATCATGAGTAATCAATGCCCCCGAAAATTCTCAAGCGCATAGCAATCATGCCTATTTTATCGTCGGTCACATCCTTATTAAATAGCCAGACTTCGAATAAACACTTCGAACTTACAGGCAGTTTCAGACCAACTGTTCGGAAGTCAGCCAAGCGCGGTCATTGCACGCGTGCTGAACAAGAATGTTGTATCATGACACACTAGAAACAATAGAAAACTCCCAAAGCACAAAGTCAGCCAAAACGCTAAAAATCTTCAATGTTTACTCAAGTTTGGGCTTATAGAAGATAATGTCACAGTTTTTCAATGATCATGAAATTTAGAATTCGGGTAGTCAGTTAATCAATTGTGGCCCTAAAAAAAATTTGAAGGAAAAAAAACTACGAATTTTTAAGAACATGCTATTTTCGTGAGAAGGACTCTTAAACGCTGACAAACGTCAACAACTAGCTAAAACTATAATTTGTAAATGTTTGCATTGCTCGAAATCGCGCGCATTTACAAGGCCCTAAAGTTTTTTGCTGGCTTGCAAGGACCCATCTGTTATAAAGATCCCCAAAATAAAGGGATAAATCTGATAGTTTATTAGATATAATCGTGTAAAGTTGGCTTTTCATTTTCGCATAAATTATGACCGAAATTTGAAAACCGCTGAATTTCTCGCATTGGGTCTTCGCGATTTTGGTGAAAGTCAGTGTTCAACGCAAGGCACTAATACGCACTATATGTTGCCGAGAGATTTTCACGAAAAAATACCGGCAACAGCAGAATTTCGACTCAGACCCCAAAGAGGCGTGGCACTATAACCACGTGACATTTACTCCGATTGCCAAAAATTTTATGCTATATCGTAGATTGATCTATATGTTATTCATACTATATGTTAGACTTACGATCAAAGTAAAGGTGGGGATACCAGCGAGCTTCAAAGTAGAATGGTACCCTCACAAAATAACTGGGTCGAGTCACCTTAAGTTTCCTTTTTCCCGCCGAAACTGACGTTCTCGTTCCAGTCTTTTCCCAGTCAACAGACGTCGTCGTCATGAAATTCGTCGTGTTCTTATGTTCCCCATTACCGGTTCGTCGTCGCTAGAGTTGCTAATGTCGTACCTAGGAAAGAAATTATAAGAAATTGTTGACCCTTTTCGTCGGGACAAATCAAGCGAACGATCAAAACTACTTGGGAATTTCTAACTAAGGTGGGCATTGCATTAGCTGAAGCTACACTAAAACTCCAAGGTTTCTTTACCGTAAAAATGCAAATGGAGCTCCACGCGCACGAGCGTAGCCCCATACTTAATATAAAAAAAAGTGTGGTAATCTACTTGCCCCAGCTGTTACCCGAGAAGTTTTGGTAATCACGTAACCGTACGCTCGCCCGTTCCACGGGCATACCAATGTGAAATAACTGAATCAACAGGTAATATATATATTTACCCAGGTCTAAAAGCGAAGCTTTGGTTAATAATAGTTATAAACAAAAAAAATTAAATCGCGTAATGTTCAACGGGGACGGCAATGAAAATGGCATCAAGATCAATAGATCTAACAAGAATCGCCAAAAGGTGATTTTTACTGTTCTGCCAATTTAATTTTCCTGGGGGAGTGGGTGGCTGCACACTTAGGCCACCAGGCTTGTCGCTGACCATTGCGTGACGTAGCATCTCATTTGAGAGTTTAAAAACAGTTACTCGTTTGAACATTGCACCCTTTTGGAAGACTTTCGTAACAAGAGAAATGAGTACCATTTTTAAGTCGGGGCAGTATAGTACCTTTTCAAATTCCACCATTATGAATAAAAATAAGGAAGTGAGCCATTGATTTTAAGCAGGAAACAGTCCCTCTGCTCCCCAAAATATAGTGTGACTACAACTTGACTTAACCGGAAATTTCAAAAACTATTGTCGTTACGGGTCAAAACGTAGCCTGCGTCGCAGACACTCTAAACCTTCTCTAAACCTTCTGTATAGAGAGTCTGCGAATTAGTGCACAATATCGTGTTCGAATCCCGTAGAGTAGCATGGATATATGTCGGCGTTATTGATTGGCTATTTTCTTTCGCAGTTTGTGATTAGTCCGATTTGAATTAAGCGTTGACAGGCCAAACATGACTCATAGCTCGTGACCAGAGAGATTGAGCTCGTGATAGTGTGAAACGTGACTTTAGAGACCCCTAGAGTAGCTTGAACAACAGATGTTTTTCTTGCTCTCTTTTTGCGCAATTTATACAGTGCATGGAGTATTCTACCATTTGACTGAGCAATTTTTTTTTTGCCTCTTTGAGTCTCACCTTTAGCTACATTTGGAGGTTGTGAAGCTGGTCTGTTTCATACATATTGAGTAATTAGTTCCTGTAGTTTATTTTTTGGCAAATGTTTTCTAAGAGGATTTGATCACAGATGCATAAATGATATTCTTTTACCTCTGATTAAGCCTTAAGCTTCTTTATTGCGGCTAAATAACCTAAGTTTCTTTGGTTTTCAACGAAACGCTTGGACCTGAATAGCTACATGTGTGTAGTTTTTTTTTTTTATTATCGTGAATAACGTGATGATTTCTTCATTTGTTTTGACTCTAGAACTGTCGGCTAGATTACAGAATACGCAATAGTACAGCTGCAGCGATTGGAAGTCGCTGGGAAACCAGCCGGCAAATTTACTAGCAAATTTTGGCCTTGAAGGAATTATCTCAAAGCGTTTTTTTGCTCAGAAGACGGCTCTAAAGTTCGAACTGATCTTTCGATTACTGTAAACGATCCTTGCCAACTCCCTTCTGTGAATTTTAATTGACAAGTCACTGCGCCCAACCGTCACGCACACGTAAAAATTAGGCCAATCGTGCGGCTTGTAAGAAACCCGTAAGAAACCCGCCTATCAGAAACGCTCACATATGTCCTTGCGACTCTGCAGGATATTGGAACGAGCTTTTGTGCACTAATTCGCAGACGGACTATACAAATGGTTTAGACGAGTACGTGGGCCGGCTGCAACGCAGGCTAGTCAAAACGCCGTTAATATAAACAAGTAGTACATTTCTCAATTCTGGTTCTTAAAGCTAACAAAGCAAATTAAATTGAAATTTTGTTTTTGTCTGATATTGCGTTATGAAGCCTTTGTAACTGTCCTAGTGAACAGATATAATATTTGTTTGACGTGGTGATCTACCGTGAGCATATTCGCCAGGACATTCCTTTCCTTTAAGGAATGGTTTTTCACACTCAAAGCAAGAATCGTAATAAGATAAAAAGAGACATTGGCTGTCACATCTACTTTATGGAAGATAATTTATTGTATGCAATTCTTAAGTTGTGCGCCATGTGTAGTTCAATGCTGTTACTAAAGTTGTTAGTACAAGTCGTATATTCTAGCATAGTGCACACAGCGAGCATAGAGATCAGAAAATGCCGCGTAAAGTGGTCGCTTACAAGAGCTTAAAAACAATGAAAAATCAGTTAACTTTCAGGCCCAAAAAGTGGTTGCGGTCGCTTACGGCAGGTGGTCGTTTACTAGAGGCTCCAACTATAAGGCTTTTACTGGGAAAGTTTTGGTGTTTAGGATAGACCGTCTCTTACGGAAGGTGGTCGCGTCTATTTTCTTCTTCCCCCACCCCTACCCACTTGCGCTAGCGGTCAATAAATCCCCCGCGATTTATATTTTTTATAGCCTGTGTACAGACTCCCCTCCGGCCTCAATAACAATCGGAAATCGGGTTCATTTTCCGAGTTTTTACTGAGGTGGGGGTCTGTGCACAGGCTATATTTTTATCACCCGCGCTAGACGGACTTTGAAGAGAAAATGGAGGGTCTGTGAACAGACTAAAAATAATTATGTTTTCACCTTACTGTTACTACCTTGCGAGTAGGGATTTCTCTCTTGCATGGCTTTTAGCGTTTACGAAGTCAATGGCGTGGCTTGTGTGTCGTATAGTTGGTTTGTTTACCCCGGTCATGCCCCCCCGTGAGAAACCTCTGCAGCAAGCCGCTTGGGATTTCCGTTGAGCATGCGCCAGATTAATAATTCGTTGCTATAGAGTAGTAACTAGTAATAGTTGACACTACAGCTTCCCCCGTTCTGTATATTGTCGGTGAAAGGTATTCTTGCTCGTTGTGTAGCTCTTTGAAATATACCGATTCATAATGAAGATTTTCAAACATATTCCTTACAATAGGTGAGATAAATAGAGGAAGCGCAAGGTTTGATGCACAGTTTCAGCTCGATTTACACAGCTTTGATAAAATAATAATAATGATAATAATAATAACATGTTTAAACAGGATGACCTTTTCAGTTATAAAAACTGCTATCAATATGGGTCCTGATCAAAAACATTCTCACTTTCGAGAAATGAAAATTAGACGAGAGGTACTTACCTTGAAGTGTAATTGAAGTTCTCTTAAGATATGTGGAGCATTATGGGATAATTATGCATACTTCCTACCTACTTACTGGTCAGCGGTCACGTTTCAAAGAAGCTATTCAAATGCAAATCAGCAGTGATATAAACCCCAGGAGGCGGCGTGATAACCAGTTCTTCCTGGAGGGCAAATATGATAGGCCAAGGTCCTCAAGAGAACCAAGGAAAAGTAAAAAGATACAGGGTTGGGAAGCATTATCCCATAATGCTCCACATATCTTAAGAGAACTTCAATTACACTTCAAGGTAAGTACCTCTCGTCTAATTTTCATTTCTCTTTCGATATGCTCCGCATTATGGAATAATTATGCGATTTTAAAGAACCGCGGCCTAAACACACCAAGCAATTCCATGCACAGCAAAATAAGGCATTTATTAAGATATAGGCCTAGACCTATTCTCGAACATCTCTCAAATAATGTCTGTGAAAAACATGCTCACTAGACCAATCGGCCATCTTAAGGATATCTGCAACTGGGGTGCCTGTGACAAACGCATGAGATGTGGCAGCCCCTCTTACACTGTGTGCCTTAAATTTCGAAGTGTCAATCCCTGCGGACTGTAACACTGACATGATCCACCTAGCTATTGTCCTAGGGGACACTGGGTTGTGGGGCCTAATGAAGGACAAAAACAATTTAGAAGCAAAATGTCCGCTACGAAACCTAAGTGTTTCGGAGCGAGAAATATACTCCTTTAACGCAACAAACGGGCAAATTGAAGCACAACCCGAAGACGAAAATGTGATCTCAGTAGACTTCCCTGGCCTGGAAGTCTATAACAGATCAGTCACAACAAAGCTAATTGAATCTCGAGATACCTTTCTGAAATTTAGGTCTAAAGCAGATAATGTCTGCTGTCTCTGTGCAGAGGCTAATGCACACAGCATGACAGTCTTGAGAGTTAACAACTTTAAACTTAGCTCACGTAGAGGTGCTAAAGTCTTTAAATATTCAGTCACTTTAGAAACATCCCATGTAGAAGAATACCTTGGAGTAGGTGGTCTGAGAATGTAAACTCTCTTGAGAAGTCTCGCTATTAAAGGATGTGAATCAAGAGAATCTCGATCATCATTCATGGAACAAGATTGGCTGAACTGTTGACAACTGTAACAGAAGTGGATACCAACTCTGGGTAGGCCATACTGGTGCAATTAACAAAACTACGGCTTTGTCGTGGCGAATCCTGGCTAGTACTCGAGGCAGCAAACTAAAAGGAGGAGAGGCATAGCAATTCATATGAGCCCAGCTCAAAGAAAAGGCATCTATAGCCACTGCACCTGGCTGTGGGTGCCAGGAGATAAACTTGCAGTCTTAGCATTAAGCCTAGATGCAAAGAGGTCAGTGTCAGGAATAAAGGTTTGAGAAAAAATTTCCTGAAAAACCTCACCATTTAAGGACCACTCCAAATTAGAGGAGATTTCCCTCGATAAGGTATCGGCCTGAGTATTAACCTTCCCTGGGATGTGCTGAGCAGAAATGAAAATATCCCTCAACTTGCAACATTCCCAAATACTTCTGGACAATGAATCTAATAAGGGGGATCGTACACCCCCCATATTATTAATATAGGCCACTGCAGTGGAGTTGTCAACTGCAAGTCTAACATGAATGGACCTTGAGTTAGACACAAAACACTGGAGAGCATGAAATGATGCTAGAAGTTCCAGGTAATTAATATGATGTTTGCATTCACTTTGAGACCATCTGCCAGATGCAGACAGACTACCACTCACGGCTCCCCAACCAATCAAACTTGCATCACTCTGGATGTAAATATCAATTTTCGGAATCTGAAAAAGTTCACCATTGCACTGTGCAATATGCTCAATGACCCACTGTAAATCAGAACGAGCTTGAGAGTTTAAAGAAAGTGTCTTGACATAATCAAGGCTTCCAGACAAAGTCTGGGTCTTGCATAACTCTAAGGAACGGTAATGCATCTCTAGGTAATTCACAGCCGGGAGTGCAGAAACTAACTGCCCAGTTACCTTAGCAACATCCCTAACACTAGGTTGATGCTTAGCTAAAAGGGCTTTACAGGCCAAGACTATTTTCTCTGACTTAACAGCTGGCAACTGCAATCTCATTGCGATGGAATTAATTATGAAACCCAAATAAAGGATCTCATTGACAGGAACTAGCTGAGATTTCTCAAAATTGACAGTAAAGCCCAACTCACAAAGAGTTTGTTTCACGACCTCAAGTTGCTGTAAACACTCATCATAAGAGCTTGCAATAAGTATGAGATCGTCAATGAAAATAATAACCCTGAAGCCAAGAAATCTAAAATAAGCCATAACAGGCTAAAAAATCTTAGTGAAGACCCTGGGTGCAAGGCTGTACCCAAAAGGTAAGCAAGTAAACTCATAACGCTTGAAATTCCAAAGAAAACGCAAGTATTTACGATGGGGCTGGAAAATAGGTACACTGAAATAAGCATCCTTAAGATCAATAGAGACCATGAAGTCCCCAGGGGAAATACAATTCAAGGCCATGTGGATATTCTCCATCTTAAAATGAATCTTTTCAACAAATTGATTTAAGGGCTTAAGGTTTATAACTGGCCGAAAGTCCCCAGTCTTCTTGGGAACCAAAAAGACTGTAGAAATGAATTCATTATCACAAGGAGACACTTCAGTCACAGCGCCCTTGGAAATTAGCTTGTTAATCTCTGACTCAATTAAAGCAGTTTCCCTTTCAGTAAATTTAGGAAACTTTGGTAGATTTACTTGATGAGGGGTTGTTTCAAACTCAAGGTGATAACCTGAGACAGTTTGTAAGATCCATGGATCACTAGTAAACTCCCAGATAAACTACCGTCTGTAACAAAGGTACAGAGCGTACATGTACCTTGTTTACACTTTGTCCTTCTGTGGTTTGGTGCTGGTTATTGATCGTCCTCCCACTTGATGCCGGTCGTGAAAGTAACTTCCACGACCTCGGTCGCCTAAAAAGTGGACTTTCTACCAGACCTCTGTGGGTAGCTCCTACTAGGTGCATCAGACCCTCTCTTGTAAGAACTGACCATGTTCTTGATTGAAGTCGGACGGCCAGACACCCTCCTAGATATCTTATTGACCTCTCCGATCTCCTTAATATGCTTGGGCAATTCATCCCCAAACAAACAAGTTGTAATGGTATTAGACTTGTTACAAACAGACTGATAAGGCTTAGCGATATCTGGTTTAAGAAACTCTCTTCGTTTAAGAGATGTAAGAAATGAGGCATGCCCCAGAAAGGTAACAGCGTCTGCCAATAAAGGTAGCAAAACATTGGGATCCATTGAAGACTTGTCTTTACGAGCTTTAAGTGTTGAATCAAACAACTGTATAATAGGCTGTGATGCCTTGACAATACCTTTCTGGAGCTCCTGAAGACCGAGGTCCTTGGATTTAGACTCCTTAGACAAATCGTGCCACAACTCTAAATTGACTTTAGGCACACACAAGTATTTACAATTAGCAGGAGTCTTATACTTTTCGTACAGATCCTTTAACTTGGAATCCATGGCTTTTTTTGAGCAAGCGTCATTAACACGTTGAGCAATGACCTCAGCCACTTCAGGCCCAAAACTTTCGGTTTCCTCGAAGACCGAAGGGAACTTAAATTCCTCCTCGTGAGGCTCATTAGTCGAGGCGACTTCGTGTGAAACTACTGCGGCCGAGGGGTCAAAAACCCCTTCGGCGGTTTCTGAAGAGGACTTTGAATTATGAGCCTCTGAACCAGAGTACTCAGTCCTAGATTTCTCGCTACAGAACTTTGCAGCAAGGTCGTTGAGCTTTTCAAGAATACTATCTATTCCGAGCTGTTCCTTCAACTCATCCAAATCAAATTCCACGTGGTCTGTATCGTCGACCCCAACCGCGTCGTGAACTTCATTCGCAATCACCACATTGGGTTCCAAAGGTGCAGTGTTAGCGCCGGCTGGCGAAGACATCACCACGTGGGCAAGCGAAACTCTTGCTGTCAACTGTCGAGCGCCAAATAAGCGACGGAAGCTAAAAGAAGGAGTAAAGCGACCAAAAGAACAAATGTGAGTAGACGAACAAGGAACACCCCTTGAAAAAGCGAAAACAAGGAACGTAAAATAGAAAAATATAAACGAACTCGCTGACCTTGTAAAGCACGAAAGGAAGAACTGGTTATCACGCCGCCTCCTGGGGTTTATATCACTGCTGATTTGCATTTGAATAGCTTCTTTGAAACGTGACCGCTGACCAGTAGGTAGGTAGGAAGTATGCATAATTATCCCATAATGCGGAGCATATCGAAAGAGAACAGTGTATTCTAAACCATAACAAAAGATTTAATTAGAAGTTGAATTTTCGCTATTTCTCTTTCACTTTTTACATTCAGTTCATTTTATTTGCCGGAAAGTAAGCCTTAGAAATTAAAAGGACGTTTGATCGATTCACGCTCGCGCATTCTAGTCTTATTTGAAACTTTATAACGGAAGGACATCTGTGAGCAGGGAATAAGTCAGCATAGAATTTGATTGTGGGAGAATTTCTGTAATCGTCCATCGTTCTGCTAGTGATAAGCTAGCCGTTGTTCACTCGTCTTGCTTGTTTGGGGCTGAGTCTCATTCCGGTCAAACGGAGAGAAAGAGTGTCTGGCAAGGTTTCCAATACAAATCAAAGATTTTTGAACTCATGTCTGGCAAACTCTCCAAGTGTTTATATATACACAGTTAAACGCAACTTCTAAGCTCATCTGCGCTTAACGAGTGTCTTTTGGTCCATAACTTTCAAAACAACTGCTCTTCAGAATGTCACTGCGTAACGTAAAAGAGTATCGAAGTATGACTGCACAATAAATGTCACAAAATCTACCTGAGCGGTCCCTTCGGGATTTTCTGTCTTTACGTCATCCTAACCATTTCGTACTTGCGGGCGCAAGCAATAGAAACGTCATCATTACCTACCGATTCCTCGCAGCCCATGTTCAAGCAAATCGAGATTTTTTTCTCTATTGACTGTATGACTGTATATTTCAACTGTAAGTACTTTCCTTAATATACGCGCGAATTACTAGAGTACCTCCCCGGGATTTCGCTTTCTGGGCGAAATCCCTGCGGGGGCAATGACGTAAATTTATCACTTAAAAGAAATTAGTTCCGTCGACCGGAAATACGTCTGCTCTTCGCAGGCTACCCATTTCCGGACAAACAAACGTGGATGATTTTTAAAATCGCTTTATTCAAACTTTTTATCGCTGTTTTTTGTAGTATACATGCGATAGTTTCAGTGGTGCCTCTGATGTACGATATAGTCGTCGACTATACCGTACATCAGAGGCACCTCTGAAAGTGAAACTATCGCACGTATACTACAACCTTACAACATACGTGTTGCACACTAATGTCAAGGACAAAGACAAACCGGAGGACAGACAGGGAGCAGTATTAAAGATCATGCTGCAACTGCCAGGCTAGTTACATTGGTGAAACCGGCAGAAACCTTAGCATGCGACTGCCCGAACGAATACGAGCGACGAGAAATGGTGACGTCAACAATCACATTGCTGATCACCATTTACACACGAAACATCAAATCGACTGCGACACTGCGACTTGTATTACGTATTCTCAGACTATTATCAACGACCCACTTTAGAAATCTGGTTTACTAACTGAGAACAAACGTCATTGAATCGTAGTCAACAGTTGCCGGCACCGTACAAACGACTTTATTGACAGACTCAAGCAAAACTAATTACGAAAGAATGACTGGACAACCCACAATTGGACTAACATAAACGACTGTTTAACTGTGACAATATAGACGGATGGAAAGTCAACTGTCCAATGACATTACGTGTCTTCATAGCCAATAATAAAATCACTACTTAACTGACAGACGACCAATAACATCACGAAATTGTCCAATCAGATCAATAATCAGAGTTCAATACAGTCGAACCTCCCGTAAGCGAGCACCCAAAATGCAAAGACTGAGTGGTCGCTTACGGGAGGTGGTCACTTACAAGAATCGAACCACAGGGGGCCTTTTCCGAGAAGAGGTCTGGGTACATCTACTTTGTGGAAGATAAGTTACGCCATATGTAGTTCAATGTT